TGGCCCGCTAGCCCGAGCCTATTTTACACTGACTCGCCTCGGCCCGCCTATGCCCGCCATCAACCCGCCAAAAAATGAGCCCGCCCCACCCCGCTTTTGAGATGGGTTGAAAAACTCAACCAGTTCCGCCCCGTTTAGCGGGTTGGCCCGCCGAGCCGAGCCCATTTTGCCGGCAGTAGTTGTCATGCACACCTTTAGGGTGTACATCACAATCATTTTGTTCCCTAGCACTGTGTCTAAAAAGAAATAATTCTTTTCTATTTTTGTGTCTTGGAACAATTTCTGAGAAAAAAAATATGTTTGATAAGATGTTCTATTTTTATTCTGAGAATGAGAATTGTATTTGATAACACAACAAATAATATAATAAAAAATAATTCCTATTAAGCATAATTTTTTTTCGGATTATCACTTTCCTTTCCATATGGTGTGGTGGTGGTGGTGGCGGCGGCGGCAGTGGTGGTGGTAATGATAGTTACGACAGTGGCTGCGGAGATGGTGACGACATAGTAGTGGTGGTAATGATGGCGATAGTGGTGGTAGTGGTGGCGATGACGATGGTGGAGATGGCAGCGACTACGCAGATGGTGGTGGTGGTTGGTGATAACATGGTGGTGGCGGTGACGGCAGTGGCTGCGACGATGGTGGTGGTGGTTGGTGACGGTGGTGGAGGCGTGCTGGTGGTGGTGGTGGTGATGGCAGTGGCTGGGCGGTGGTGGTGGTGGTTGGTGACGGTGATGGTGGCGTCGTGGTGGTGGTGGTAATGGTCGCGGTTGCGACGATGGTAGTAGTGGTTAGTAACGGTGGTGGAAGTGGTGGCGTGGTGGTGATGACAATGGCATGGTGATGGCGATGGTGGTGGTGGTTGTGGTAGTGGTGGCAATGGCGGTGGTGGCGTGGTGGTGGTGATGGCAGCGGCTGCGACGGTGGCGGCGGTGGCAATGGCAGTGGTTGCGACGATGGTGGTGGTGGTGGCGTGGTGGTTGTAACATCCCTGTCTCGAGCCGGTTCAATTACCATACATATGATAAAACAGAAAACAGCGGAAGACTTAACTTATGAAAATACGAGCTAACTTTTTCTTTTTCTTTTTAAATTCTCATTCGTCGTAAACGAAAATCAGACAGAGTTTCCTCTATAAATCGGACAACTGGGGTTTTTCCAATCCCACTCAGAAGCATTTCCTGATAAACAGTTTATACAAATATAATCAAATGTTCATCCATGGGCGCATGCATAACTTGGCTCAGTGCCACTATATCTAATAGCATGCAATCCAACACGTAAACATATCTGAATACTACATCATCATATAACGTGCCTGAATACTCAAATGTACATGCATCAAACTGACAGACATGTACAAAACATATACAGGTCATATACAAAATAAAGGATCAATATCATGATCCATCAAAGGCGGAAATATAAAATGACATGAATATACTTCCAAAAAGTAGTAGCCTACAACCATTCAAAATCCGATCCGTCAACTGCCTCAGCCACGTGTCGCGTCCCTGCCTAGTGAGGACTCACCGGGAATCTGGGCACCTGAAAATATGTCCCCAACAAGGGGTGAGATTACAAATCTCAATAAGCTCCAGGTTTATAGAGAATTCTCCATACCCCTGGCTCTCTCCTGCACGAAAGTCAGATACAGAGTATACGAATACAACATATAACAGATATCATAACAGAACAGAGCATTTATCCATATCATATCAGAGGTGTGCGTCGTCATTCCCAAGGGAGGACCCCAAGCGGAAATCAACGCACGTGTTCCCGAGGGAGGACCCCAAAGCGGAACCAGACATATCAGAGACGTACACCATCAGTCCCGAGGGAGGACCCCAAAGCGGACATCCGGGTACTATACAATGAATGGCCAGAGATTGTTACAGAAATCATATTACAGAAGTCATATCAGAGCAAAACATATCATGTTATCAAATAACTCTATATGAATGCATCTATACAAAGCATCTAAATCACAGTCATACAGTCCAACCATAGTTCACTAACCATGGTAGAGCACTCAACCAGGAAAAGACTCCTTAAACATAGAGCTTACCTCTTGAAGCTTTACAAATACGCTTACTTGTTGCACAAGTTACTTATATGTCTTCAAGAGATTCCGATCCTTTTTTGTCCCTAGGTACACCTAGAGCAAGAATCCACAAATCCAAAATCAATAAAATGTTATCATGCCTAGATTTTCCATAAAGCATACATTTTATCGCTTATCTTCCTTTCTTTATATTTTTGCCAATGTTATGCCAATACACAAGTCTAGACCTCTTTATAACCGTTGGGGTTCTTTACTTTAATCAACCATTCCCTTAGGAATTTTCAACATAAATCATGCTATTTTTCTTCAAAACTCATCACTTTTATACAATTTATTACAACACATTTTATTTAAAATAAAATGTACAAAATATATCCCTAAATACCCTATAGGTCGAATCCTATAAGGGGAATTTCCAAAGATCCATCTCTTTTACAATACATTTTCTTTACTTCCTTACAACTTGCAAACACCTAGGCATGCATCCACTAGGTTCCTATTTTGAGTTTAGACACCAAGTCCTTCACAACACATCAAGGCCGAAACATCAAGGTATGTTTCCAAGGATTTTCTTTCCAATGTAATATTCTTACTAATTCATCCAAATTCTACTTACTTGAACACATAAAACCCCTCTTAAAGCATCAACTAAATTGGCACAATAAATCCTATTAACTCTATCAAAGGCCGAACATAGAGAGAAAAGACATGATTTTTCTCTAATTTTTTTACATACTTACAAAGCTTCTTTTCATTTCATACATCAAAATATCAATTATTCCTCATCAATACATATTTTAACACATCATGCTTTCCCACCCAAGGCATATAAACAATTTTATAACTTAAATAATCAAAACAACATCATGTAAATAGAGGTTTGTTACCTCAAATCAACTACCCAAAGCCTAGAAGACCTACACCAAGAGAATCTCCATCAAAAACTTCATTTTAGCCTCTTGATGAATAGTGCACAAATTTGGGGGAGAGAATAACTCTTCACACACTCAACAAAAGCTCAAATTGATAGGTGGAATGGATTCATTGAGTGGTTTCTAATCAATTTCATGTGGTGGGTCTTTGGATTTGGTGGCATATTCAAGAAGAAATCAAAAAAAGAAATAAAGCCCTAAACCCCCCCCCCCCCCCCTTCCATGATGAACTCCACGGTTTGCAAGAGAGAGAAAGGAGTTTTAGTTGTGTGAATAGTGATTCACTTGAATGACAAAGCTTTATAGCCACATGTGACTTTTTAACAGATGTTCTTCTTTCGCGTATCTTCACTTAAACTGACCCAGAACCAACTTAAAGCTACAAACATATTTTTATTTTTCTAAAATCATTGACATTAATTTTTATTTTCTAAGGAACAATATTTATAATTCACAGTATGGTTTTTGCACCGTTTTTAACGAAATGCATTGTGAACCATTAACTGTACTTTATTTATTTCTGAAACTTAACACTTATAAACTTATCATTTTCTTGGACCTATATTGACTTGCTTGGCATACATTGAACTTTCTTATTCTTACTTCATCAATTATTTGTTTCTGGACTCTACCGGTTGCTTAAACAGCGGTATAAAATACCCGGTAGAAACACTATTCACGAGATTTTCACGGAAAGTACCAGACTATACAATATTTCATTCTGAACTCATATATGGAGTCAGAATTGTCAAATTATGTCTCGAAAATCATTTTTGCTTATTTAAGCTCTACCCGTTAATTCACAAGACTGCGAATTCTCCGACAAAACGCACTGTTCATAACATAGTTATGATTACAGTCAAAATACTCGAAATCACTCACTAAATCTAATTATGGCATTTAAATCCTTAAATTAAATCTCTAATTAAGATTTACCATATAGGGTCATTATAGTGGTGGTGATAATGGCAGTGGCTACTGCGATGGTCTTGGTGGTTAGTGACAGTGGTGGAAGTGGTGGTGGCAATGACGTGGTGATGGCGATGGTGGCGGTGGTGGTGACAGTGATGATAATGGTAATGGTGGCGGTGGTGGTGATGGGTGGAGGTGGTGGTGGCGGCGGCGGCGTCATCGTGGTGGTGACGACGACATTGGTGGTACGACAGTGACGGCAGATGGTGGCAGTAGTCGTGTCGGGATGATGGTTGTGATGATGATGATGATAGTGGTGGAGAGTAATTGAGAGAAATAAGTGTTTCTCATTTTGTGCCCGAAAAAAAACAAATATTTTCTGATTCTTTTTTCTGTTTCCCAGAACAAAAATTAAACCGGTTCATTCCGTGAACAAAAAAATAAACCAATTTTACCGAACGAGTTTTCCATCCATTTCTGTTCCTGGAAGTAAAAATTAAAAAAAAAAATATTGATTCCGGAAAGGTTGTCATGCACACCCTTAATATATGTTTAAAAATTTAAATATTCTAATACATACTTTCTTTATTTTACTTTTTTTTATGAAAATATGTGAAAATTATATACAGATTTTAAAGTGTCAATATCATTACTCTTTCTAACCCTTTTATTGAAAACTCCTTGAAATCTAAGATGGGAATTAAAACCAAATTACCATTGTTGATAATTCAAGTGAGTGATATGGGAAAAAAATATATTAAATAAAAAAACATATAAGTAAAATAATCCATAAACGTTTAGACGCATAGCCCATTTAATGTGGGGATAGAATTTCCCCAATTTTGGACTCCCCTAATTGCTTAACTCTGATTATCATACCCAATGGTTGATTAATTTGTGCACCTAACATTAAGGTTATGTACAGCTCATATGGCTACAGGAGGAAAACAATAGAAAGTCACTCAACAGATCCTAGTTGGTAGGCCAATAGGGATTATCTCTATAACCATATAATACAATTTGTTATGGGTAAATCCTACGCATACAATTGAAAAGAGAGAGGAGAGCGAAGAAAGAAGAGAGAAAAATCAAGAGACTAGACCCACGTAAAATTGTATGTATAGGAAAATTATGTTACATATTACAGATATAAAATCCATTTCTTATCTGCATAACTATGTACTTGCTTGCTGTGTGTTACTTTTTTTGTTTCCTTTTCCCATGTGTTTAGTTTGTGTGCATTACTAATACCACACATTCACTGTTTCAAACTAAATCTGCAACAGAGTTCATACTTAAGCCAAACATAACAGATAAAACTGTTTGTTTCACATGACACAAATTTCTTTTCTTTCTTGTTGAGGAATTAATGAAGCAATATCATTTGCTACGTTCTGGGCATCGAGTTTAGCTCCATAAAATCCCCTCCTCGATAGTCCAACGCAGTACAAACCATTCTTACCCTTCCAATGGTTTGGGAAACTTGGCTTTGGAAAACCATCCTCATTCAGAAGATCATCACCCCCCTGCTCAAAACGAATTCATATTGTCATTTTCATTCTAAACTGTCTTGCATGATAGTTTTTTTTATCATTTCTATGTAGTTAGAGATTTACATAGAACAGAACAGTGCATTCAATAAAGGGTAGTTAATATTGTCACACACAATATGACACACACATACCTTAAGCCACTTTTGAGTTGATCTCTTGAAGCCTGTGCAAAAAACAATTGAGTCAAATGGGTGCGACCTGCCATCCCGGAACAAGACTTGGTTACCTCTCATGCTCTCTATTTCCGTTGGCAACACCTACATATAGCATAATAGAATGACACTCAATCTAAACCATAATGTCTTAATTTGAGCAAATGAGAAAGCACCTGAAGGCTTAAGGTTTTGTATAAAATGGAAAGAGGTATGATTACTATGTTTTCCTGATGATAAATGCTCATACCTGTATCTCTCCAGATTTGATTTTCTTCACAGTTCCCAAGTCAATTATTGGGAACTTGCCGTACTTCATCTTCATGGTGAAAGGGCCCTCACTGGGAAAAGGTATCCCATACTTGCTAAGATCTCCATACACAATCCTGCTAACAATCACCAACAGTTTCTCAACCGTGCTTGGGGACAGATATTTGAACAAAAGCGTGGCATAATGCATCATGTCCCTTGAAAGAAAATGAACCTACATATATACACAATAATATTATAGCATAGAAAAAGTTCAGGAATTTAAAAATTCAATAAAGAATACACCAATGGATTAGACACAAAAAATATATATATATTCTAATCATATATACATATATAACAAATTAACTAAGTACCGGGCTTCGAACAATAATGGAAGGTTTGGCACCAAAATTGGCCAAGTCTAATGCAATCTCCATGCCAGAATTGCCAGATCCAACAACCAGAACATGCTCATCTTTAAACTCCTTCCCATTTTTATACCCTGTAGAATGAAGCACTTTCCCTTTGAAACTCCCTAACCCTTCAACCTCAGGAACACGAGGTTCAGCAGTTTCGCCACAAGCTACCACCAAGAACCTTCCAGCATATTCCTCAACATGACCAGAGGTCCTATTCTTAGCCATGACCCTCCATTTCTCATCATCATATTGAGCTAGCTCCACGGCTCTCTGGTACAAAGGGTTGATCTTGAAGTGATTCACGTAGTTGTCTAAGTACTCTATGAATTGCTTCCTAGGTACATAGTGAGGATAAGATGCAGGAAATGGAAAGTGGGGTAGCTCACAAACTTGCTTTCTTAGATGAAGATGAAGACGATCATAGGTGTATTTCTGCCACAGAGAAGCAAAACAGTCTTCTCTCTCAAGGATGATATAAGGTATGGATTGCTTGGTTAAGCACGCAGCTGTGGCTAAGCCAGAAGTTCCAGCTCCGACGACTATCACCGATGCTTCCTTCATTGTGTTCCTTGTCTATTTTTCTTTTTTGTTTTCTCTCTTGTTTTTGTTCTATTATTTTTGTTTAGAGAGATGAATGATTTGTGTTTTGTGAATTTAAATTATTCACTAGTCACATAAGATTATTACTTAAGCAAGTTGGTTTTCCATTACCAATGGATATATCTTTGTGTGGTTGAAAGGTTGCCACAAGGAGAAAACAGGCTTGTTATACTGTTACGCAGTGTTATTGAACCCGTTTGGATCCGACCGGTGGGTCACTGGTCAGACCGGTTGACCCATATATATATATAGATATATAAAAATATATATAAATATGAACATATAAATTCAATTATATTCTTCATATCTAAAATGAATTAAATAAAGTTCATTAAATAAGTTCAAAAACATGAAGCATAAATAAATAAAAATGCATTCTATTACTATGTAAATTTAAATTGCAACTCATAATCCGCATAAACATACCTCTTAATGACATTGAACTCATATTTTTCAAATTCAACTACATTAAAAATGACATATGTCACAATCTCTTAATTTATTATTATGTAAATTGCTTCATTATTGGAAGCTGAAATTTGAGATCATTGTAGAAGAGTATCCTAGCAAATAAAATTACAAAAAAAATTTAAAATGAGTTATATATTTTTTTGACAAGACGAAGCAATTTTGATTTTTTTATTTTTTATTTTTTAATGCATGACCCGACCGGATCACCGATTTTAATCGGGTTTGACCGAATTTTGATCGAGTTTGACCGGGTCAATGCATGACCAGTCAAATGCTTGACCCGAACCAATCTAATGACCGAATCACCAGATTCCGGGTCGACCTAGCCGGGTCGGGCCCGAGTTTTTCAAAAATGCTGTTACGAGGAGTCACAATTCATGATTCAAACTTCAAAGTTTCTCTCAATGGATATACTGAAAACGTTTTCATTAAAAAATAGAAGTCTTCGCTAGCATTCATGGTCAATATGGTTGTTGTTGCTTGTTGGAGGACAACACCATAATGGTCCGAGTTCGAATGCTGGTAGAGTCCAAAAAAAAAATAGAAGCCTTCCAAGTTCACTTTCCACTTTGTCCTTGCTAATATTACTTTTGATACATTACTTTTAATTTGAAATATTAAAAATATCTAAAGTTACACGTTCATAAAACAATAGTTTATTGCACAAAATATATATTTAAATGAAATATTGTTTAATTTTATTTTCATTTTAGATATTTAGTCTTTAGTATAATTGTATTTTTTTTTTAAATTGAGTAATGTATTTTAATAAAAACAATCTAGTTTTATAAAAGAATTAATTTTACTGTATTACAAATAGTTATTATTTTAAAATAAAATTTAAAGTAGCATATCAGATCAAAACGTCCGACTAAAATACAACGTTTATTTTTGTATGATATAAGATTAAATTCATTAAATCACTGGGATTGATCTAGTAATGAGAAATTTAGATAATTTATAGTGGTGAGAGATTTAGATAATTTATATTAGATTATATGTTTAATTTTCACCTTTATATTTAAAAAAAAAAATCCATTAAAATGCAAATCGGTGATCTTGTCTTTTTATGGCCCAGATCTGGATTGTAACGGTGTGTAATACATCCTATACTGTGTCCATATATGTACAAGAGGCCTATTATGATACATGTGTGATGGGATGATGTCTTTACGTCTACTATGTTTATAAAATGCAATATAATGGAATTTGGTGTCGTCTGGAATTTCAGAAGCAGGACCACCTCTGATTTCCACTATGATATTACCAAGTCCCAATCATAAAGAATATGGGAAAAAATGTCGTAATTACAACGGACCAATGGAAATACGCCATATTAGTTGATATTTTTTTAAGAGACAAAAAAAAATTAATACTTTATATTATATATTCCCTAGAATATACCCGATCAGTATCAAGTACTGAAAATGCTCTCCAGAATATGATGTTGAATATGCTATATACAGAACCTTTTGATGGCTCTGCTTCGTACGCATTTTGTATTTGCAAGTAATAAAAAAATTGTTACATCGGAATGGAAGCAACTCGCTAAGGAAAGGGCACACAAAACATAAATATTGTAAGTACGCACACTAGGAATCTAGCACTAGGACATAAAGGGAAAGTGGAACGATGAAAGAGAAAGAAAAACATGTGGACTCCACCTCTTTAATGTGTGTGTAGAAAAATGAAGTTATATTATGTTAAATGATAAACATAAAACCCAAGATTTATAGCTTAGTTTACTTGGGTGAGTACCTAACATAAATATAGATTTCTTTATAGGACTGTTGTACATAATAAAGCCATTTGCTAACTTTATAAACCACATCTAGAGAGCTCAACACTGGGCTGATTCCTTGGAGTCCCATTGAACAACTTAACTGAAAAAGCTCCCATGAGTTTGTTGAACTCAAATGGGTTCTTCCATTTCTTGGTAGACTCCTTAGCAATGATGAAGTTTCTCATCTTTACATTCTCCTGCTTCATCATATTAATTGCTAAACTCAGGTGTCTTATCACCTCTATTTTCTCTTCATCCTTCTGCTTGAGTTGTTCCTTCTGTGCCTCATTCTCTTCTCTAAGTCTTTCTATTTCTCCCCTCAACATCATTACTTCATCACAAATGGTATCTTTCTGCTTGAGTTGATCCCTATGAGCCTTGCTCTCTTCATTGAGTCTCTTAATTTCATCTCTCAGCCTCATAACTTCATCATCCGCAGCCACAAAAGAAACTTTCTTTTCAATTGTGCAGTCATGAAATTTAGTCCCCTCTTCTTCCTCCAGCTCAGGATCATCAACTTCAGATTCCACTGACTCGTCTACATCACAATGCTCAGAATAGGTATCATAACCATTATCTGAAAAACCCATCAACTTCCCTAATTGATACTTGGCTGAAGCAAAAGGTGACCCCCCTGTGGTGTCAGGTTTGACTTGATCATACCGCTCAGCTAGTGAACGGTGTGTCCTATAGAAATCTTCAACCATGCTCACAAGCTCTGGTCGCTTCTTGTAATACATCTCTGCACGTTTTGCAAAGGAATCTGCATCTTCTTCAATTAATGTTAACATTGCCTTTGTCTTCTCGTTTAGCTCTGCAATAAACATGCAAAAGACAATCACAATTCACACATTAGTTTGATCACTCTTTCCCTCACAATAAAAACATGATGTACACAAAAAGGTCTAATACCGGATATAAGTCATAACAAAACCAAACACAGGTTGCTCCAACGGCTAAATCCATAGAGCAAAAGGTACTTCAAAAGTGACACTCAAATAAACCATAATGGGGGCCCATAACCTTTCTATGTTTTCACACTGATGTTCCTATTTTTCTATTATGGACAATATATCGCAGAAATTTTCTGTTCAACAATAATAGTCACAAACATATCTATGCGAGGCCGATAAATGAAAACAATATTGATAACTGCGTCGAGAAATATAATATGTGAGTATTGTGTGGTTGTTGCATATATGCTTGTGTTAGTCCCACATGGGATAGTAATGAGATCAGCTTCTCCTTTATAAAGTTAATTCAAGCCTTACATGCCGTGTTCGTAGAAAGGAGAGATGGTTGGCATCTCCCCTGACAGGGACGGGAACAGCCTTCGGGCTTTCTTGTTAACACATCGGTTAAGGCTACCCACCTCTCCGAGGTGGATCTCTAAACCAAATTTTTTTTTCTCCTTTGCCACCTCAATATTTACAAACATTCTAATATTCACCCTTAAACATCAAGTTATGCAACATAGGTCTAATTATGATTTCATCCATAATTCCCAAATTCAATAGAAACTACATAATATAATCACATTTCAACCTTAAAATGGTCTACATTCCGGATATAGGTCATAAAGAAACCAAACACAGGTTGCTCCAACGGCTAAATCCATAGGAATAAAGGTAGAAAAAGAAAATGAACTTGAAAAGTAACACTCATATATAAATCATAATGGTGGCCCATAACCTTTTTATGTTTTCACACTAGTATTTCTCTACTTATATTAAGACAGTACCTTCTTTCGAGAAGGGGTGGTTTGCCTCAATAATTTTTCATTTCTCCATTGATGTAGACGTCCGCGGTTACAAAACTTTTAACAATTTATGAAGAGAATTTATGGGTCTACTTGGGAGAAATCGTTGAAGGGAAATAACAAAGAGAAGGTTTGGTGGATCAGAGACATTCAAATGTTATGCTATTGTTACGGGAGCAAGTCCAACCAACATCAATCTTCATGCAATGAAAGCATCATTGAATGCACATTAACCATAAACCATTGATATTGGACAATACATTGCAAATCACAATCATTTAATTGCAGATTAAGTAAAAATAATGCATGACAATAAAAAAAATTTAATATTCATGAAAAAAAAAAATTCAAAATGAAAGCTTGTCATATGTCAATCCTAGTTTGATGTGGGTATATAAGGTGCTGCTGGGTAATAGAAAAAGAAATTCTTGTAGGAAATTGATAAGAAGGAAAAGAGAGGGAGGAAATGCATACCAGCGATAGTGGATTGAAGCCATGGGGATCGTTTAGTGTTAGTGTGACTATCAAGCCACCACCAGTGTGACGGTTGATTCTTCATCATTCCAACCATCTTCTCCTTCACTCTTTTCTTGGCTATCCCCAAGAGCCTATGTATAAAAAAATATATAATAAAACAACAGAAAAGAACCTTGAATTCCCCAAACGAAAATTTGAGAAGCATAACCATCAATACTAGCAGCAGCAAGTCTAAATCACATAATTTTAAAAATGCTTGTAGCGAGAAGATAAGAATGAAAAACACCACACTTATCAGAATTTGCATGAAAAGGAACAAATAAATGCACCGACTAAGAGACTGACACTGCCTCTTCGTTTTTTTCAACACAGCACAGTAGCACACAAATACATAACAACATCATAGAATAAGGTCATTCTCGTTATTTCAACGCTGCTAATATTACCAGAAAGAAAATTCCAACATACAAAAACCAAAAACTAAAATGAAATCCAGAAACATAGCGAAAGAAAAGAGAGAGAGAGAGAGACAGGTGGAATAAAAAAAGGACAAAAGAATTCAAAATACAGAGAAACCCACATCAGGCGCATAAATTTCGAGTGATATTTTTCTAGATTTCATTGTTTTGAGGTTATCCCAGAAGATTAACACGCCGCAAACCGTCACCGATGGGACAAAAGACTCAAACTTTACAGTGCCCATTAAACAAATAAATATGCAAACGAAGAAAGAAAAAAGGTACCTGATTTAACTCGTCAGAGTGAGTGGTTTTAAGGTGCAAGCTAAGTAAGGGCTTCGTTTTCTAACCCCACTCAACAGCCACACAAATACATACACACAATAAATCAGAGTCTCTATGTGAGTGTTTGTACTCTGCAACTGCGGTGGAGTAGTGTCCACTATCCACTACAGGGACAAAGAGAGGGAAGATGTACCATAAATACTGTCCATTCAGATTTTGAATTTTTTTTTGTCTCCATTCTGAAGTCTCCCCCTATCATATTCAAACACGTGTATATGATAGTGGGTCCCCTAATTCACCATGCCACAATAATAGGGCCTTAGTGAACAGAAATTTTTTTTTAATATGTTTTTTCAAAATATATCTAGTACTTAGGGGGCGTTTGGTACAAGAGAAAATTTTTGTGATCCCAGAAAAAAAATTTGCGGAAAAATAGTTAGCAACTTTTTTTACAGGATAATTTGCAAAAAGATGTTTGGTAGCCCAAAAAATTTGACAGGAAACTTGGATTAATTTGACTAACTATGTTTGGTTGATTATAAAAAAATGATGGGAATCTTTACCAAAATTACGAAATTACCCATACATTTTGAATATTGTTGATTTTCTTTGTGTCACAACGTTATAATTTACTGCCGTGTCCAACTCATTCGCTCTCTCTCTCTCTCTCTCTCTCTCTCTCTGGCGCTGACGAGGTTTGTTTGCTTCTTTGCGCACAATTTCGCTCACCTCTGTTCGTGGAGCTGGAACTAGGGTAGTTGTCGGAGATCTGCTGCACACCGCCAAGGCCGCCTTGTGCCAGACCTTTCCGTCCGCCACCCACACGGTCTGCTACTCCTGCATCGCGAAGCTGTGGAAAGGCACTAACGGTTAACCTCAACCACGTTGCAAGCTGCATATTATTGCTTTCTTTTTATTTTCTCAATCTAATTTTCCAAATAAGAAAAATCACTTATGGCAATTTTTCTTTTTTCTTCTTTCTTTTCTGCTAATTGTCTTCGTTAGAACCTTGTGCTATTTTTTTCTCACGTCATCACGAAAGTTTCATGTCTTTGTAGGATTTTGATTAAGCTCCATTTTTCAATTTTGTTCCTAGGTTTCATTCTTCCAGATCTGGATCTTCTACTGCTACAATGGCTTCCTTCACTCCTTCTGGTTCAGCCTACAGTGACCCAAGTAAGTCCCTCTCTATCTCTTTCTTGATGCCAATTTGCTTCTCTAACTCCGAATTTCTCTCTCCAAATCTGCAGCTACCGTCGACACCCTCTCCGACGATCGAGCCAACCATCCCTAGGGAAAGCTTCTATAAGTAATCGCATCTTCTAATTTTCCCGATTCTAAGGTTGCTGATGCTGCTTCCCAATTTTTTTCTTAATTTAATATATTTTTTATTTTCTTTAAAATATTATCAATGTGCATGCCAACAACATAGCATTGCAGTATGATGTTTCTCTTCATGATTTAGTTTAAGTGTTATTTTCAGATCTCTAACTCAACTAAAAAATATTAAAAAAAAAAGAAAAAAGAAAAACAAGATCTTCTAATAATATTTTTTAAACGATTTCAGAAGTAGTTTGAATAATAAATTCACCTCAATGTGTAACTAGTTTTTGCCTGCATCTTTGTCACATGGAAGAACAAGTTCACAAAGTCATGGTAATAAGGGGAACAAGATATATTGCTTTAACTTTTCTGTCCGAGGGAATTGAGTTTCACATATAAATTGGTTTTGTGATCTACATTGAAATTTAATAATTTCTGTTGAAGTTTGCCTTGTGGTCAGCTATTCATGATCTAATAATATGCCAATCTTTTATATTTTATCCTTTAAAATAATGCTGATTCGGTGCGTAGTTATCATAAACCCGATTACGATTACAAAACTTTCTTTAAGGATGAATCTGATATGCAGTATACAGGGTTGATGAGAGAATATTATAACTATAATTAAGTGGACCACCCCTTGTCTTTGCTGGAGGTTAAATGTACTCTCCATAAGTGTATATGTATACATAAGATATTCTTTTATAAGATATTCTCCAAAGCGATTAAATACTCGTTTAGGCCTTATATTGGTGTCTTAAAAATGACAATATACCTAACTTGTTATTCAAATATAGTTTAGAAACAAAGTCGTTTGTTAATCATCAATGCCTATCGAATACCGAGTATGATTATAATTGTGCAATTTGACATAGACATTGTTCATTGTTATTTTAGAGCTGAGAAGTAGGAAAGTTTTAACTCCTTACAAGTATAAGTCCATTGTGCTTTCTGTTGGTGCGACCCGACCAGCAGATGAAATGGTTATTCATGAGTTTTATGCCCCTCTCCCACTAGAAGTTTTACTATGCTTATGAAAAACCATGCCACATAGGTACTCAAGATGACTGCAGAGAAATAACTTCTTCAAGACTAAGAGATGGGTCCTCGGATGATATGCACAGGTTAGAGTATTTCTATCTTGTTGACATTTACTTTCAATATACTTTTACAGGTAGATTTTTATCTGGTTAAGTGTGTCACTGTCACCATTTACTTTCTGATATTACCTAATTCTCCCTTCCCACCCCGATTTTACTTTTTCTTTGTTTCGTTTTACTTGTTTTATTGATGAAGTAAATGTACAATACATTTAATGTCCTTATAGTTAAACCCATTCATCACCTTTTTGACATTTTCTTTAGCTGATAAGTGGAAATTTTAACTTTCCTACACCACAAACATTTCGTTTTGTGCTACTGTGTTCGAAATTGACAACTCTTCTGACTAAAGTGTCCAAATTCCCAGTATTTGATTATTATCATGGTACTTTCTCTGGGTAATCAACCCATAAAAATACTGAGATCTGATTCCTATATAATGACATGATATGTCACAATTATATTTTGAAAGTATGTGAAGATATTTTTTTTATTGCTTAATAAATAACAACTTTTATTATGCTATAACATTGATATCTCCCTTGTCCTCCACTGTTTTCATATACATCAGATAGCAGGTATATGTCACATGCACGAGGAGGTGGATGTAATGAGTAGCATAGAATAAGTCTAGCATAAAAATACATCATGGATTTTGTTTCAAGGGTCTTATTCCGATAATTAGCAATGCTGATCAATAGAGGTGCACAGTTTTTCTATAAGCTCTCCTTTTATTTTTATCTTTTCATTTTGCTTACATGCTAAGAACATTATTAGATTATTTAATTGGATTTAATAGTTCTTTTTTTTCTTTTTTTTGTTGGTCTTCAATGAAGTTGAGGTGCAGAGGGATTAACCCAAATGACCATTTTGTCAAATCGGAGCTTGTAAGTTTCTTTAAATTCTGTTGCATGACATGTTTCTCATTCAAGTTTCAACCTTCGGTGATGCATGTTGCTTAAAGTTATTGAATTTGTATCCCCCAGGACAAGTTAAACGAGTACCAAAAGAAACTGGATCACCTGCAGAGTTTGATTTAAGGTACTTACATGTTTCTTCTTTTTGCTGAACCATGATGTTCATAAGTCCGGTTTGTTGAATTCTCAAGTTGAGAATGAACCGTACTGCATTATTTATTAGTCTTTCTTTTGGGGTATTTAAGAGTTTTAAGTTTGCATTACCAAGGTTCTTTTCTCGGTTGGGACTTAATCACTACAAAAACATAGATGATTAGTGGAGGTTATTTAGTGTAGGTCAAAAAAACCTCCACTAAATAAAATAATTTTTGGCAGAATTTAAACCTCCACAATTTATTATTGTTTTCCTTCTTGAAAGGCCAAATTTGTAGTGTTAGGATGCGCTAATTTCAAAGGGGGTCGGAAGTGTAATTTTTTTGAGTGGGTTAATGAACCCACATGTCTTAATTGCATACAAAAGGATAAATTGTTGAAACTTTATATGGTATTGTTTATTGTACTTGTAATAGTATTTGGGATTGTGATGTCTACAACGAAAAATGCTTGTTGATTTGTATTTTAGGCAGTAACTACCCAAGTTGTAAGGTCAGTAGAAACTTTTTTGTTAGTGTGAAGGTTTTGTGGTCTTTTTGTTTGTGTAATATGTACCATGTCCTTAACGACTTGAATGTAAATTTTTATGTACAGTTGTGTGCTAAGAACTATGAAAGTAATAACTTGAAGTTGGTATTGGCATATGTAATAGTATTTGTAGCTGATGTCTTTCGACTGACGTAGTCCGTCATTCACATGCATAGATGAGAACAAGTTGTGGCTACCAATACTTGGATGGATATCTTATGTGTTTGTAATTTATAATGGATGTAGATGGCATCAGTTTCAAGTATTTTTTCTGAAATTAACTGGGGATGTAGCTGTTGTGATGTAAGTTGTTAAATTTTAAATTGGAGTGAAAAATATAAACCATGTTAGCATAGAATTCCTACTTACCCTTGATTATATTGTATGTTAGTTTAGTACTAAACTTGTATGCCCTGTTATGCATAGGTGTCACTTGTATGCCCTTGATGATATTCTTCTGCAATCTTGGAGCTATTGAGTGGCTCTGCCAGCGCATGGAATTACTTTCAACCTTTGTATTTGCTTTCTGCATGGTATTACTTGAGCTTTCCCCATGGAAGTTTGACCCCAGTGAGTATTTAGTTCTGATTACTTGTTTTGTCTCCCTATTTTCATAAGTGATATCTCTAATCCTGGAGGATCAAGTTACGTAGTTTTATTAGAAGTTATTATTGTATAATGATCACTTCTAATTAAGTGATATTGCCTGAAAACAGAGCATGGGAAAGAGACCTAAACTCATGGTTATAGTGGGACCATATATATGTAACAATATTCTCCTTCTAATAGGGGAATTATCTCTCATGTTATTGTTCTCAGCTTTTGCTACCCATATTTTGGAAACTAATATGCATATTTTATAAACTTGATTATGCAAATAGTTCAACCTTTTTTGTTTTTTCGTGCGTGACAATGTTACAGTCATAGGCTGAATGACTTATTTGCTTAATCTACTCTGTTGCTCTAGAATGAACTGAAGACTTGCAGTTAAGTTTTTTTGAGTCCTCTGATAAACGTTTGATATTTTTTGTATTTCTGGGTGCTCACTGCTAATGGTGGAGGCAACGAAAGTTCTCTTGTATCTGTTATTAGATAATTGAAAAACAACTTTTGGATTCTCATCATAAATATAAGCCTGTTAACAATTAAAATCCCTGGCATGTCACTAACACATATTATTGGGCTTCATGGACATTACATATGACCCTTTATTAGCTTCAATAATGTTTGGGAGTTTTTACTCTTCACCTTTTATTCTGATATTTGACAATTTGTAATCCGTGTTATCTATAAAATTCAACCAGTTTTTATTCATTAGATGGGTTTCATGGGTGGCTGAATTTTATATTTGAGAGTTGAACCTTTTTTTTAATTCAATCAGTTTTCAATGTTGCAAAAAAAGCCCTTGCAAAAGTTGCGTGGAATTTTAATGTTTGGGAATTTGTTTCTGTATATCCTTCTGAATCTGATGGGCCACTGGAACCTTTCCCATGCAGGTCAACAAGAAGGAGAGTTGAAGATGGTGCACCCCAACGTGACTGAAGTTAGCTATAGGGAAAGAAAGCAAGCAAAAGGGGTATGGAAGATTATTCACGAAGTTGGGAGGGGTAGAGGAGTTCTTTGCAAACGGGTTTGTTTTGTGGGGAATAGTAGGAGTCTGAGAATTTGAGAAGAGGAAATACTTGTAGTAGTAAAGGTGTCTATAATAATTCACTTGTTTGTATCCTTTATTTCCATTGGAGTCTGTAGTTGCAGTAACTTGTTCATTTGAGTATTTTTTGAGAATAGTCTTTGTTCATGTCAATGTATTTCCCTTTCATTGTGTGAAAGGTAAGAGTCTGTGTTGCTTTTCTCCTGCATTTAATGGTGAAGATGATTCTGATTAGATCCCTTTTTAATGGATAATATAGCATATCTATGTCTTTTCTTATATTTTTGTCTTTTCCATTTTTACGCTATCATCAAGATTGAAGGACCTCCCAAAAAAACTACTTAGGGGTCCCGAGCCTAAAAATTGCTCTCCTCTACTCACTGAGTCAATTTTTAATAGACAATTTTGAATTTTTCAGTGTATTTGTTGGCTTGTGTAATAATTCTATGCAAAGTTGTTCCCTTAGCTGTGGTTTCAAGTCACATTTACGTGTGAAGGATTGGTAAATCATTCGTAAGACAACTGATCATGTAAATCCCAAACTATATCATAATTGGTTAGATTCAGTCAGTTTATTTGAGCAAATTCAGATTCATGAATGACTTATTCAGAAGAAATTGTGCATTTTCTTACATTTGGCTGAGAGCAAGAAACGATGGCCATTTGTAATATGCAGGTTAAGGACTTATGCAAGCATGGAGCCGTATATTATTGCTACTCATAGATGGCTAAGCTTAATGAAAATAAGAAAGAATGGGAAAATGACCTCCACAAATAAATAACCTCCACATACAACTTAGATTGAATTACTTCACAGTAACTTACAAGACATGGAAGTCTTATATTCCTGTTCTTGAACAAACGTACATTAGGGAGCTAATAAAGTACATAAATTACATTTTGACAGCGTGGAATAGTCATAGAAAACTACTTATATATATAGTCTTATATAACCAAGTGTAGTTGTGAGATAAGCAGAGAAGCAACTGTCATCATGGTAAGCCTTCATTGACATATTGATTGTAGCCACACCAACCAAATTATAAGGTAAGTTCTTGTTGTCTGCAACGAACACAGAATAGTCTCCCATCCAAGAATGAGCATATGCCATTAACTAAACCAAATATGGAAAATATGTTAGCAACAAAACATAAAAATGGTTCCCACACCTATGGTTCTTATAAGCAGTGTTAGGTGATCAATTAAATCACAGAAAAACATTAATAAATAGTTACCTTTCGTGTAGGGGTTCATGCATTGTCAACACACAAGAGGCCAAAAATCCAAATTCTCCTTCTAAATTCTGAAACAAACAGTAATGGCAATATACTATGAAAAAGGTTAAATTGACTGTTGTTACCAGGAATTCCACCATCAAGGTCACATACACTAGTCTAACGATGCTGTAATGTAACATCATCATTTTTATACACAGTAGAGACGTAGAATACATACCATCGGTTGGATTTTTGCAGATGCATTTAGCTGACAGTGTTAGTTGGCTGCATTCTACAATGACTGATAAGTTTGTGCCACTGTAAGGCCTAAGATGACACCAACTTGGCAGACACATAGTTAACTAACTATAACACACCAAAAAGATATTAACATAAACATTAAAATAAAAATATAGACATGCTTGTACATGTTATCCCCTAATTCCCATAATTAGTCACCATAAAAACCCTATGTTTCTTCACAGGCTTCCTAAAATTGTCAGCTTATCAACCAACTTGCAGCATAGTGTGAAGGCATGATATACATGCGCCAAAGGATCCCTGAAGACGTAGACTGCCACAATATGTAAGAAAGGATATCTTCAAATGTACAGCTGAAAGATGTCACACCAAAATATATTTTTTCCACAAACACCCATGTACCTACAATGGGTTCCCAAAAAAAGTTGTGCTCGTTCTACCGAGCGGTTTCCAACAGCGATGCCACCACTAAGATTCTCTCCTCATAACCTCCACTCATGAAAACATCAGTCAGTTTGCTATCTCTACCCATGATCATTGCAACCTTCACCCTTTGAGAAGCATTTAATCCTTCAATCTGTTTTAATTCTTCCAGAATTGACCTTCTCATCTCCCTATCCTCTGCCTTATGTTTAAAACAGCCAACCAAGTTATCTATTTTGTCAGCTGTTTTTGAGTGTGACTGGGTAAGCTTGTCCATTGCTTCAGAGACCACGTTAATGACAGCATCCTCACTCCTTGCACGTTTCTTACCCTTTTTTGCTACAGTTACTGACACAGGTGAATGTACTTCAGGTCCCTCTTCAGTTGTAGGCTCAGGCATTGGACAGTAATTCTGACTCTGTGTAGGGTCCAGCATTTGTTCAAAGAAATCATCTGCCAAATTCCCACTCTCATCATAAATAGCAGCCTCTTTTTCCATCTGTTGAACAGCATCTTCAGGTCCCTCTGCCCCTTCTCCAGTTGCAACCTCTTTCCCGAAGATTGGTGCTAATTCATCAAAGAATGGGAATGGCTTTTTAAAAAGCCCTTTGGCACTGGGGTGGGTCTGATAAGGTACAAATTAGTACAACCATGAAGTCCAAAAAATATAATCATATAGCAACAATTGAAGACATAATTTAATAAACTTAATTTACCTTAATCCAGTCATCATAAATATGTTTTTCCACGTTAATCATCTTGTCTTTGTCGTTCCAACCGAAACCGCTCCCACCATTAGGCCCTCTCATTTCACAGATTGCATTATAGTGCTTCTTAAGATGTTTAATCCGGGAAGTTATATGAGGGGATGCTTTCAGTGAACATCCGGGGATCTTGTCGTCCATCATCTTTTCTAATTGATTTGCAAATCCTGGCTTAAAGCCATTATCTCCCTTCCAGGCTAAACCAATTTCAAGAAGGCACTCCACAAGTGCTTTATCCTCTTGTGTTGTCCAGGTGTGATTAATTCGTTTCTTCGATTGTTGACTGTCACCCGCCATCTATAGAATGCAACAAATTTATATATGGCATTGGAAATGACCACAACAGACAATATCATCATGTAATCATATCACAAACATGGAACCAAATAGATTAGTACACAAACATAATGTCATAAATAGTCTAATAAGAGTTAATATTACACAAAACATACGTTTATAATTCATGTATTTTAATATAAAATAATACATAACATAATGCAATAACAGCCACACACAACGATCATAACATATAAATCCAAATCAATCATGTCCCCTCCACGTGTTAAACATCTGATGTGCCATCTCATCCCTCATAAGTGTCCAAGCATTAGATGACTCAACATGAGTGATCATAGCGTTCTCCGCAAATTCATTATGGGTCATTTGAGTTTCCACTGCATCATCTTCTAAGGGATCAACTGCCATTTCTTGTCGTATGTGATTGTGAAGCAAGCAACATGCAGTTATAATCCTACACTGAGTTTTAACTGGATAAAAAGATTTTCCCCTTAAAATGGCCCAACGCCCCTTCAACAATCCAAAACATCGTTCGATTACATTCCTAGCAGAGCTATGTTTCATGTTGTAAAATTCTTGTGGAGTTGTTGGTTGCGCCCCTTGCCTCCACTCACTAAGATGATATCTTTGCCCTCTGTATGGTGTAAGGAAGCCTTCCCCGTTCATGTAACCAGCATCACATAAATAATAATAACCTACACATGTAATGAAGAAATATTTGTTATAAACAATTCCCATGTCTATTTTACAATTTGAAAAATTGTTAAATGGAAAGTAACGTTTAAAATGAAATACCTTTTGGCACCCTCAATCCATTCGAACGGGATATAGCATCTCTTAGGATCCTTGAATCTGCTGCTGATCCCTCCCATCCAGGTAATACATAAATAAATTGACAATCTTGAGAACATACGCCTAAAACATTTGTTGCTACCTCACCCTTCCTTGTCCGATACCTTGGCTTATCAACTTGCAACGGATTCACCTTGATGTATGTCCCATCTAACGCTCCTAGGCAATTCTGTAATTCGTAAACAGGAAAATAATAATGAAAATGACATAAATAATAATTAACATCTTCAACTAATTTGTAAATACAGCAAAAGAGTGTAAGTAAGAAGTTACCTTGAACCATTTCCACCTTTCATCGGTTGAATTTTCAGGGACTGGCTCAGGTCTCTTAAGTAAAACCGTATGGCACCGTAGCACAGCCTGCAAAACCTTGGCGAACTGTCTACTAATAGTTTCACCCGACCGTAAGAATTGTCTTTTAATGATCCTATTCTTAACATCATGAGCCAGAATGTGTAGAAATATTGCAACGAGCTCTTCCACACTCATGTGCTTCGTTGGTTCAAGGCCCCCAACAACTTTAAGTAATTCACACAACCTAATGAAGGATCTCCTATCCATCCTGGTATTCTCAATACAAGCCGTTTCACTAATGTAAACTATTCTATGGAAATATATAGTCCTTAAATTCGCCCTTCTATAACAATTCCAGGTGACTCTTTTCCTAGCATTTCTTCTTTTTTCGAGATCAGCTAATAATAAAGCAAGTATAGTAATAAACATCATTGTAAGTTCATTCAAAGACTCCAAGTAACATATGAGTACAACAATGAGACTGCACTCCATTCCATTCATGTTTGTCAGTGGGAGTTTCGGTTTCTGCAAGCTATAAAGATTAATATTAATAAATTTTGCGTGATGCCCACTCATTGCTCATAGCAAAGCACGAGAATAACGAAAAGGACAGTGGCATACAGAATGACTACATTCAGTATTGATTTACCTAAAAAGGACTCCGCTTTGTAATATCAATTGTGGTTTGCCATTGCGAGACATTGTTCACTAATTCTGTATAAATTTTATTCCTATTTGAAATATAATTGTACATAACAACTCAAAGGACAAGATCCTATTTTATACCTTATTTTGTAAATTTAATTCGAGGTATATTGTTATATATATACAATTGACAAGTGGATTAGAAGAACATTAAACACATGCTGGAAAAAATATGGAAAAAGATAAAACAATTCAAAAAAAAAAAATTGGCCATTTAAGGATATGCCAAAACCTTATCTGTGAATCTAGAGAATTAGCAAAATAGCCAAAAGATGCATACTAATTCATACACACCAGTCCTAGAGGAATCAAAAAAGAAGTTGTACTAATAATTTTACAACAACAACATCCACTCATGCTTCTTCAAGACACAAGCCCATCTCTCTTTTGTTCATAGTTTCACAAAAACAAGGTACCCCACATTGTTTGTGGAATAAATGACAATTGTTTATAGATCCAACACAACCCAAAAAAGTAAATTTTTCACATTTGTAATGAACTCGGTCGAAAAATAAAATCAAAAACACAAAAAATGAAGAAATATTTCGACTTTTATGTATGACAATTGTAATGAAATGCTGTAAAAGTTATAAGTTAACAGATAACATTGCTTCATGGGAACTTTTCGAGCAACTGAAAAAAGGGAAAATAGGTCCAATGTTCAAAATCAAACGACAAGTGAAAGAAAAACAACAAAATGTTAGCATTTAGGTAAAGTAAATGCTTCATGACAACACATTTCACGGCAAAAATCCAACCTTCGTACTTATGGACCACAACGAACACAGCGTACCTGAATCAAACAAGTTTGAAGTATTTTTTTCGGCCTGTGAAGTCCGACCTCTTCAAGTTTTTGTCTTCGTCAAATCTATGAAATGATAAAGAAGGTTAACAATAATCGATGAACATTCAACTGTTAGTTAGAAAAGAAATTACATGTGATTCCAAAACCTACCAGCAACACGGTGGAGAGGCAACAGCTTCACAGCAAAACGATTGTGGATGAAAGGATACTTGTGATTAAATTTTCTCTCACCCCTCTCTTTATATCTAGGGCTAAGGGTGTTTTGGTCTTAAAAACTTGGACCCATTTTCCCCCCGCGTTGGCAATTGCTTATTCCACAATTTCAATGGCAAACTTCATCAACGTAAAATGGTGGCAAACACCTTCACCGCAAATTAAGTTTCCAATGGACAAACTTTTCTCCCCCCTACCAAACACAGCAAACTACTTTTCCATACCACACTTTCCATTGGAAAAAAAAAATTGCTGCATACCAAACACCCCCTTAGGATGAATTATAAAACCATAAAATGACCCCATTTGTTATTACAAACGGCTCTTTTCTCAACACTCATCCAAAACTCCAATCCAATTACTTCACCAATTTTGGGTTGGCATTATTAAGATTAATTTCTTTCTTCTTAAAAAATACACGCCACATCTAGGTGTACGTTTAAAAAAAAATGATTTTCTCTCTCTAAAGTTTATATCGAATAGTTAATATAAAATAAGTCACTCGGATTAGTATGATGACAAGAGATTTAAATAAATTATATACCCAATTCTCACTTAGTATAAAAATAATAATTAGGGTTCGTTTTTATTGCAGCAAATGTAAATAAGTTATTTGTTCAAAATGACGTCGTTTTGAGATGAAAATTATAGTATTTTTGTAATTATAATTTAAGAAAAATATTTCTGCAGTTACTGCAGATAAGTTATCTTCTTTTATTCCCAAAACGACGTATTGAAATATTAAAAAATTATAATTATAAAGATAACACATTGAAATATTCCTGAAATAAATTAAAATTATAAAAACACCATGATTTTCGTCCCAAAACGACGTCGTATTGGGTTTACTGCAGATAACTTAACTGCAGTAACTGCAGAACAAGCGAATCCTTATAATTTATTTCAAGGTTATAATAGTCTTTCTCATTTTAATTTTTTTAATCTTTCAACCATTGTGAGAGTGAATGTGGATAACTTATCTACATTCACTTAGAAACAATATAACCTAATAATCAAGGAAAAAATGAAAAATGTGTTTCATTTTGAGTGAAAGAAATATATAAATAAAGAAAAAAAGAAAATGAATAAAATAAAAATAAAAATATGAATATTATTTTTTTGTGAGAATAAATTATATCGTTTAAAAGAAAAAATCACTAAACACATAATTAGCATAAAGAAAGAATCTGTACAAAGAAAGAAAATCCCACGTAGGATTATAGGAAGCACATCATTGTCACTTGTCAGGGTGAAGTGTCGGTGGTGAAATGGAGAAAGATACCCTCTCAAAACAGCACCCACTTGGCTTGTGTTGGAATATTATAGGGTAGAGTATCTGTCAGTGTCCCACATCTCCATCTATTGTTAAAAGCTTCTATTTTTTCTGGGTCTTCATTGCTCAAATGCCTTGTTTTGCTTCTGTTCTACTTCAAGTTTAGTGCTTCTTCTAGATTCTGATCTTGCCTTCACCACTTTGAGTGATACCAACAAAATGGGAGTGGATTTGAGGCAAGTGGTGGCTGGTGTGCTCACCCTCACTATGTTCGTCATGCTTATACATATGATCAAAAGGGACCATTTTGATTCGGTTCAAGTAAGATTTCATCCTCCCTTTTTTTAATTTAAACTAAAAGCTACCATCTTTCGCTTTTTTTCTTTCTTTCTTTTAATCTAAAGTTGTCGTCTTCATTCTTTTAATTAAAGCTTGTAGAGATGATAGATCCTTAGTTCACAAACAAGGAAACCATGATTGCTTATGGTGAAAGATAATTTTTCATTAAAATAGTGACTAGAATGAACACGAACAGTACTAAAAGCTATAAAATAGTGACTAGGATGAACAAGAGTGGTACCTTATACTATAAAATAGGAGGCTCATTTCAATGCATTTTCCAAGTGCCTTTCTGATGCAGATTTATTTTGACTATTACTCTTCTAATTTCTTAGACAGACAATGATTTAATCATAGTTACAATTAATTTATTTCAGTTGTCTTTCTTTCAATTTTTGCTTTACTAGGATAAACTTCCAGGAGCAACAGAGGATTTCAGCTTTGAAAATTCAAAGTTTGATGCTACTCATGTAAGAAAGAATATAGGGCTTTGGAAGGGAGATGCTGATCAGTTAAATCCATGTTGGGCTAAGCCATCTGGAGGTAAGATTTGATTTTCAAGACTTGCAAACTGTGAAGGAACTGATATTATGTACTTAGACACAGTTACTTGCGCTCAATCTTTCTGTCCTTATTAATTCATATTTTGGCTATGGCTGGCAGATGATGGCGAGCAGACTGAGGGGTTTGTTACCTTTTCATTAACCAATGGCCCAGAGTATCATATATCTCAGGTAACTGATTCAACCAATGTGCTTAACTTATTGAGGAGTTGCTTGTGTATCAGTTATGTATAGATACTTACAGTTATTCCTCAAACATCAGCAATATTTTCCCCTTTTATAATTCCCTCTTCTCCCCACCAAAAGAAATGATGCTATTATTGTGTATTATTTCTACAAGATAGAAAGGGATAAAAGTATTTAATGACATTCTAGTTACCATATGCTACTGATAATTGTTATGATGAGATTTATAATTTTTGCCATCGTTTTACTATATTTATGTGCGATTTCCTCCTTTATGAAGGTGTGTTATTGCAAATTTTGAAGTTATTCCCATTCCCATTTTTTTTATTTTCTGTACCCGAAAGGATGGTTTAGGCACCTGGCGAGTATGAAAGTTACCTCAATTAATGGGCAGAACTCGCCCTTGCGAGGCAACCCGTCGCGAATCCCTAGATTGAGTCATGGGTTTGCCCCCCACGATTTTCCTGTTACCACTATACCATCCACCATCACCGCCCGCGTATTCCACAGGTCGGTCTCTCCACTCTCTCCCAACTGCCAGAAAACCCTTATAAGAGGCTAATACAATGTCGGAAGAAGACACAAGCTACACATTGAGCATTCCTAACTTCCAATCCCCCAGAACATCCACATTCTCCCAGACGTACACACACCGATGTTATTTTCCTCATCGGATTGTTGGCTGGAGATACTGAGCTTTCCTTGCCAGTTATACCTTCCGTATCTCCATAGATAGAAATACCAGCTTATCCTTGCTTGGCATCCCTTGTTCAACACTACTGTACATCTCCTTTCCTTTATATTTCTATTTGTTAGGAGGGTTTTTTATCCTCCTGATCTGTTTTTCTCTCCCTTGATCTTCTTTCAGCACCAATATACTTCTTTTCACTTGTGGCCTCTTCACTGACTTTAATTTGCTCCACGTGATTCTTTAAATTGCATGTGCTCTCAATATATTGCTTAATCTAATGATCATCTAGAACTTTGACCTTTATGACTAGGATTGAGTTGAACACTTGATTTTGCTTTTACTCCCCCTCAATCTGTGGTTGTTACTTGTTAGTTCTTTATTCATTGCCTTATAACTTTATGTGAAGTCTGATCCTGACTTCTTAATCCATGTATTCAATTATTATTTCCCATATTCCGTAATTTTTTGGTAATGCGTTGTCCAGATAGCAGATGCGGTGATTGTTGCTAGAAATCTTGGGGCAACACTTGTGATCCCTGACATCAGAGGAAGCCAACCTGGTGACAAAAGGTTAGTACTGACTTTCATTCTATAAAAGATTGAGGGTATAAGAAGGAAATTGTTGATGGTAATTGGTTTTCCTATTTAAGGGCCCATTTTTTTGAAAGAAAAGAAGAGGTTTTCTGAATGTAAAAGCACATTTTTTAAAAGCTTTTGTAAACTATAGGGCGCAGTTGAGTTATCATTAGTTTTTCAACTGCTAAAGACAATTTTACTTAGCATTGCTTAAGAAATAGCAGGGCAGGTGGTTTCAGTATCTATCTTTTGTCATCTGTATCTTTAGAAGCTTTACTTCATAATAGAAGTGTCACATTTAGCTGTCCCCCCATCCCTACTTCAAATATACAAGCTGTACTTAAAAATAATTTGTGTGTCAGGAACTTTGAGGACATTTATGATGTTGATGTGTTCATGAAAAGCATGGAAGGAGTGGTCAGAGTGGTAAAGGATCTTCCTGCTCGTATATCAACACATAAAATTGCTGCTGTGAAGGTCCCTAATCGGGTTACTGAAGACTACATAGCTAAACATGTTGAACCAATTTATAGAACAAAGGGAAATATAAGGCTTGCAACTTACTTTCCTTCAATTAACATGAGAAAGGCTGGGAAAAAAGGTGACAGTGATTCTATTGCATGCTTGGCAATGTATGGAAGTTTAGAGTTACAGCCAGAAATGCGTGACCTTGTTAACTCCATGGTCGAAAGACTTAGAACTTTAAGCCGAAACTCAGATGGCCAATTTATAGCTGTGGATTTGAGAGTTGAGATGTTGAGTAAGAAGGGTTGCCAAGGAAGTGATAGTGATGGAGAGAAGAGCTGCTTCAATGCACAAGAGATTGCTGTGTTTTTGAGAAAGATTGGTTATGAAAAGGATACCACAGTTTATGTGACACAATCAAGGTGGGATAGCAGCCTTGATTCTCTTAAGGATTTGTTCCCTAAAACTTACACAAAGGTGAGATGTTTGTTCTTATTTCATCTTTTCAT